TGTTGTATGTGTTTACCTCAGCTGGAAATTGGAAACCTTGAGAAAACTCGATCAATAATGGCAGAAGAACTGGTTAAATTAACAAATCAAAATGATGAACTGGAAGAAAAGGTGAAGGAAATACCAAAATTGCGCACACAGTTAAAGGTAAATGTATTTCTGTTGTGAGTCCATGTAAAATTTACATAACTGGAGTTTTTATTAGGAATGCTCCTATCAGTTTAGGATTATATTCAAGTCTGTCCCTAATTGTAAATGGCTGAGGAGGCTGTGTGGGATTTTCATAGAGTAAATTCTGAAAATGCCCACTCCATAGCTGGGTAGTGACCTCAGAACACAGTTGCTGGAAGTGTGTGTTGTGCAGAAGATTGTGTGCTAAATCAAGGAGGGAATATTCTTGTTTCTGTCATTTAAGACACTTGTCTGGAACTGGACTTTTCAGTAGAGGGAGTGTTTTGATGAATAGCATGGATTTGAGAGGCTGATGCAGAAGCTGAATGAGTGTCTAGTAGAAATACAGGAAAGAAGATAAATATTTTAATCCTCATGTTTAAGAATTTAAGTTCAAATATTTGAAATAGTTTTGCAATAATTTTGGAAATTATTATTTTATAAATACAGAATATTCGATTTTCTCCTGAAATATTTCACAAACTGGTAATTCCTGTAGTAAAACAGTGTAGTTTTCTAACTGTTTTTAGTGCTTATAGCCATTGAACTTGAAGGTGTTTTAGTACAGCCTCTGAAGCCAGCACTAACTCTTTGTAGGATCTTTGGAATATCTTCCTTTTAATATCTAGAGTATAAATCTAGCCATATTCAAACATGAAGTATTTTTGAAGAGTTTATGGTGTTATACTTTGATAAAGCAATGCTACATTTACTTTCCTGAGTAGTGTAAAACACTGTCCCAGGAGCAATTTTTCTAATGTTGAAAACCAGTCAGGTAACAAACTGTCCTTGCAGGATTTGGATCAAAGATACAACACAATTCTCCAGATGTATGGAGAGAAGGCAGAGGAAGCTGAGGAACTCCGACTGGATCTGGAAGATGTGAAAAACATGTACAAGACTCAGATAGATGAACTTTTAAAACAAAGGCAAAATTAATTCCTGCTGGAACTCTTAACATTATATGTGAACAGACTGTAAAGATAACTGTTTATGTAAATGCTGAATTTAAATGTCTTGTAAAAAAATAACTGTATTATAGAAAATGTGACTATGTTCATATGTTGACAGAAGAATCAATGCTTTAAGTGTCCCGTTCTGTCTGCAGTTAAATTATTTGTGCAATATTTAATTTTTTTTTTTCAGTCATCCCTTTATTTAAGTCTTTGCTACACGGTGGGTCATTTTACTTGTAAACAGTAGCAGAAATGATGGTTGTTACCTCATGAGACAGCACTGGAAGGCATGAGTTGTACTAAAACAGCCCTTGATTCATAATTCCTTTAAACCTATGAAAATCACATTAGAAGTCTTTCCTAAGTGTTCTTCATATGAGTTTTTCTAAAACCTCATCAGTTAATTTTTAATAACAAAATGGCAGTGACTTGCTGTCTGAAGCATAATTGGTGGATATTTTTATGACAGGAAAATCGTACATTTGTACTTGCAACATCTGAACATGTTAGGGTGATTATTCTTAAATCAGATTAGTCTGACTGTTTTACACTAAGTCCTCTAAAGCAGAGTGCAAGACTCAGACGAGACTTTAAATTACAGCTTCATCTTGTACGTTGCTCATGTTCTTATGAACAGCGTAGAGGCAACAACTCTGCTTGTAATTGTAAAATGTGTCTAATTTTAAAACCAGAAATATGAGCTATTAAATACTTATCCTAGATTTAGTTGCTGATTTTTAACAGTAGCTAAAACAGTTCAGAAGAATGCAGAAAACTTTTTTTTTTTTTTTTTAAATAAGTTGCTGCAGCTCTCATGGTCCAGTGTATACAAGTAGCGGGGTTTAGGCTTTCTGTAAAATTGTACTGTGACTTAATATACTTTTCAAGCAAATCTCCAGTGGCTGCAAAGTATTTCTCATGCCATTCCTTAAGCAAGGTATTGGTCAAACAGCATCCATGTGACTTGGAGTTGAGCTGCATTTTTGGTAATGTCAGAGGAAACGTTTGAATTGGACCCTTGGGAATGCTGAGAATCGCGGGAAGGAGTTTTCGCCTTCCTCTCTGCATTCCAGAGACCAAATATTTTGCTGCATTCGGAACCTACTCGTGTGAAATATTTGGCAGTTGAAATTCTTTCCTTATCATACCAGTGCCTCTGTTGGGAAAGGGTTTTTTATTTTTCCCAGATCTGTGCACTTTGTAATTTGGGAACTCTCTTCCTGCTTGGGTATTCAGTGGCCTGAGAGAGGCAAGGGATGTGAAGGGTGAGAAATTGCTTCTGGAGAAAAGCCTCTTGGTAACATGACTTTACTATGGGTGTTAAGGATTAATTCCTCACTGGGAGAACAGTTAAGTCACTGAAGGTACAGGAGGAAGGGTATGTTCCTGTAAAATCCTGGTCCAATTTGAGATTCAGGCAGTTACTCTGAACATTTCAATAACACCATAGAGCAAAAACACTAAAATTTGTTATAACTCCCCATCTGTCATAGAAACTTTAACTGCTTTAATAAAAATACTTTTTTCTTTTCCTTTTTTTTTTTTTTTTTTTAATGGGGAGGTGGGAGGGAACTATCCTCTTACTGTTTTCATTTCAGATTTGGAAACCATGGTGATTCTGTTTTTTTCCTAAAAACCTCAGAATTTAACACTTTGCCTTCATATTGAAGCATAGTTGGTTGCTTTGAGTTTCAAAAAAGCTCCAAACCAACCAACCCCACACAAAAAGCACTCCTTATAAAAGCACTTTCTGGAGCTTTACTGATTTATTGTGTATTAGAATTATGATGTGCAAAGGTTAGTTCAGCCTTCTCCTAAGAAAACAACTTTTATGATGGTCAAAGATTAGAAATTCTGTTCAGCTTTTATCTACTGCAGCAAATCAATATATTGCTGGTTTTCAGCATTTTTTTTACAATCTTGGTAGACAAATGCAGTACTTAAAAAAAAAAATTATCCTTTGAACTTTTATTGGGATCTGTTGCTGCCAGTGCTTTTGAAGGTAACATTTCCTCTGTAATTTGTGAGTAGATGCTCCTGAAGGGCTGACACAGGCAGTTCTGAGGATATCTCAGGCTATCTTGGGTTTTCAGGAAGAGCTTTGGTAAATGGGAAATTTTAATACACGGTCAGCATTAACTGTTTTCAATGTAAAAACATTTGACAGGTATTAGATTTTTAAATTTTACAAAAGTAGATGTAAATATTTGTATTGACTATTTTTGGATTCTTTATTCCCATTTAGTGCAACCTTTACTATCACCTGAGAATCAGATGGCCTTCTGTGTCTTAATCATCAAAGCCTTAGAAAACAAGGTGGCTGTTGGAAGGTAACATAGACTTTAAAGTATTCTGGTTTGGTCATCCTTGGCATAATTCTTGTATGCTTGTTTTGAAGAAACATTAATGTCTGCTTGGACACATTTAGTTCATGGCTCTGAGTTTGCCTAGAAGAGTGACATGCAAAATTAAAGGACTTAGGTCAGAATTCTAATATCCGTTTATGTTTATTATTTTAGGACATTCCTTCTGAAAGCAACTAATTTAGATCTCATTTTTCACTGCATATGCAAGTACTAGGAAATGCTATTTAAAGGTTTACTCAAAAGTACAGTGTTCAGAGGGGGCTGAATTCCCAGCCTAGGTAATGGAAAGGCTGTGGATGTAGGTGGGTTTGGATGAGGAATAGACTCCTTGGTACTCACTTCCTTTCAGAACACATGTTCAAAATCCCATGTATTTGCACATGAGAAAAGGGGTTAGTTCTGCTTATTTTTCTTTCCTGCTACAACTTTGTTTTAATTTACGTGCTTGTGTTTGACTAAGGGCTATAATGATCCTGAGTATGAGGTGAAATGATTATTGCACGGTAAAATAAAGCCCCTTGGTTTCTAGCTGTAAAATGTGTATAAACTGTAAAAAGCACGGGTCAGGGTAAAATAAAATTTTGCGCTAAGAGTGTGCTCTGTTTCTCTTTGAGAAAGGACTTGAAACACTTCCATGGTGGGTGGATGTGTGTGAAAGGAAAATACTGCTTAAGTCAAGAGATACCAGATCTAGCTGGAATACAGCATTAGAGATGCCAGTTACAAGTCTTGTGGTGCTGCGGGTATTTAGGCAGAAGAGGGTGGTTTATTTATAAATGCGCTGCAGTGGGGGGATTATGGATAATGTGAAATTAAGACTAAGTTCCTTTATTCGAGTAAGCGGTGTCAGCCCATCTGCCGGCGCCCTCTGTCCCTGTTCTCCCGCATGTTTCCTGTGGCAGGCCGGGCGTTTGTTCCTCATCCCCCACCTGCGAACGAGGGGAGAAGAGCTCTGTGCTGGGGTGGAGGATTCAAAGCTCTTGAGTGTTGTCGCCTGTGCCCCCTCCGGCGCTCGGCGCTGCAGGAATGGGGTCGAACCGAAGGAGATCGCGGGTTGCAATCCAGGCAGGAGCGCTGTCATGTGCCTGCCCCGCATCCACCTCGGCCCTTGCAGCGGGGCAGTGCCCGAGCGCGGCGGTGCTCCCGGGGCTCGGGGGGAGCCCCTGGAACAATGGGGTGCCGGGAGGCTCCGCTTCCTGCCGAGCGGCGGCAGGAAAAGGCCCTTTTCCTCCGCATCCTGCCATCGCCGCTCCCGGGGCGGCAGCGCTGGGTTTCCGGCAGCAGAAGGAAGACGCGCCGCTGATCCCCCGCTGATCCCACAAGGGCAGGTGCCCCCCGCCCCGGCCCCACCTGAGCGCCGCCGCAGCCCGACCCGCGCCCCATACCAGCTTCACGGGAGCCGGGCCGGGCTCCTCCTTCGCTCCCTCCTCCTCTCCCTCCCTCCCTCCCTCCTTCCCCGGCTCCCGCCGCCCCCGGGCGGGGCGGTCCCGGCGGCCGCAGCGCTCCGGCCGCGGCTGTTCTCGGGGCGGGGGCGGCGGTGCCGCCCGGCCCTCCCTGCCTTCCCCTCCCTCACACCCGCGGGGAGCGCAGCCCTCGCACACGGGCGCTGCCCCCGCGGGGCCGGGCCGGGCGCTCCCCTCCGGACATGAGGATTGAGGCCATCGGCGAGCGCGGAACGGGAGGAGCGGCCGGTCCCATGGGCCGCGGGGCTGCGCGGGGCCGGCGGGGCTGAGGTGCGGGGATGGGGTGGGATGTGGGGTGGGCTCGGTGCGGCGACACGCGGAGCGATGGGATGGGATGGGACGGGACGGGACGGGACGGGATGGGACGGGGCGGCGGCGCCGCTCGGGGCTCGCTGTGGGTGCAGCACCGGGTCCAGCAGGGGCATGAGCAGCGTGGGTCAGACCCGGGTCCAGCCGGGTCGGTCCTGGGTCCGGTCCTGGGTCCACCATGGCACCAGCACGGCCCGGCTCTGGGTGTTGGGCGCCTTCCCGAAGCGACAGACCCTCAGCCCGCACCCAGGGGCCGCTCAGTCCCGGGGACACCGCAGGGTGGTGTTGGGTGTGAGCTGGGATGGGCACGGTGTGATCCTCCCGAGACCCCCGTCCCGCCCCACAGGGAAAGGGAGATGCTTTCTCGCAGCCACCCGACGGATCAGCAGCGTTCCCGGGCTGTGGAAGGCTGCTCTCACTGCTGGGAACGTCTCAAAGAGCAGGACGGTGTCCCGAGGAAAGCTCCTTTTGCAGGTCACACCTAACTCCACTTTCCTCCCCTCGCATTAGGTTTCTGCACTTGGGAAATCTGAAGCGGTTCTCCTCAAACCAAACAGGTAAAACTGCTTGTATCGTAGGAATTTTGCTAAAGGCTTCGGTTGAAAGCAAGCATGCAAATTTTGGCAAATTATAATGCCAAAAAGGTGGGGTTTAGATACAGGTCATGCATTTTTTTACCCCAGGAAGTTTAATTGTTCAAAGCAGGGGTGTTTGATGAGGTTGTATTACCAGAAAAGTATGCAGTCAGCTTTAGAGTATACAGATATGTGTGGGCCTGTAGTTAAAGTATGTGTGTATAAATATATATATATAGTCTTTATATATATATTATTATATATATAACTTTTATATGTAAAGTACATAACTCAGCAGTCAAGTTTCTTTACCATGATGTTAAGCACTAAAACCAGGCATCCTGTAACAGCCCTATCTGTGACCATTTATTTGTGGCTGCATAGTTTTTCTTCACCTAATGATTAGTTCAAAGTGGAGAAAATATTTTTACACTTACTTTAAACCAAAAAATCCTTCTTTTCTCACCCCTCCCCCCAGTACTTCTACATTTTTTCTCCCTTCTGACTGGATATTACATGCTCTATACTTAGTTTCCACGCTGAACTCTCAGGATCCCTTGGGAATTAGCTAAAGTAAACACACCCCTTTTAGTTTGACTGGGAGTTGGTAGTGCGTAATAACCCTCCGTGATTAATGATTCAAAGATAATCCTGAGGTTGTGCAGTCTGGCCTCTCAGTGAAAGTTTGCTCTTCATAGGAAAAAAAAAACCCACTCCAGAAATGCAAGTACAAATTCTTTGAGTATGTGACTTTGACTGAATTTTGCCTTGTAAGCTTGAAATGCTGCGGATAAAGTTGTCTTTTTTTTGTGTGTCTTTTTGGTTTTTTTTTTAATAAATACAGAACTCACAGGTTGCCATGTTTATGTTGCTTGTGTTTGCATTGCTACTGCAAGAAATTCTGGCTAATTCCCGAGCTGAAAATCTTACTGAATTCACAACCATTCCGGGGGAGCCGTTGTACAGCTACAAAGCTATCAACTTGCCAGATGAGCATATTCCATACTTTCTGCACAATAACCAGCATGTTGCTGACATCTGCAAGCAGGATGCTCTTTGCCCGTATAAAGTAAGTTTACTTTTGTTTGTTTGTTTGTTTAAATGTTATATTGAGGTGGTTTGTTCCCAGAGTCACAGCAGTTAAAGATGGTGATTAATTGGTCTCCTCTCCAATTAGTCAGGGAAAGGGTTTGGCCTAGAACAGACACATTGTAGGCAAGAATAAAGTTGCTGTAGATGTGTGTCCTGTTTGGAGCCTCTGTTGTGGATGAAGCATCTGGGTGTTCTCTCTGAAACTGTTTGGAAACAGACCAGACCAAAAGCCTTTTATGCGAGATTTATGAGCAAGAGGTCGTTTAAAACCTAACAACTAACTTAAGTAATTTCCCATTTTGCTGTTGCAAAACCAATTCACTTACTCTTTTGTTGCAGAAACACTTGAAGAAACTAAAATCCTGCTGGGGTTATGAGAAATCTTGCAGATCAGATAACAGGTTCAGTTACCCAGTATGTGATTATGTTGAAACTGGATGGTAAGTTTAATTTTAAAAATATACTGTCCATTATGGTAAAAAAAGAGTGTAGTGCTCACTTTGATATTAGCTGTGAAGTCAGCATTATTGTGATATTTAGAATTTAAAGGATGATTCTTTGTGGAGACTTGTGTGTATTTATGCATAACATGCCTTTCAACATGATTTAAAAAATTTAACTTTTTAAGGAAGAAAATAGTGTTGGAAATGCTTCCTGCCAGAATGTTTTCGTTATTCTGATTTAGCCTTGATTTCGGATTCCTAAAATAACTGTGTATTTCCTTTCTTAGCTTTAAAAACAGAGGGGAGAAAAATGTTAAAAAAAAATTTCATACCCATTTACGGGAGAATAGCTTTAAATTGTCATTGATGTTTTCATTTACATGGAGCTGATAAGTGCTTCCTGTTTTGCATCTTAAATGCCAATAAAGTTAACTGGCTGGTTCTTCTCTTCCACTTTCAGTGGAAAAAAATGTTATCTGTTAAAGAAGTTATTACTAAATTTGAGTAATAGACCTTGATTTTTTCCCCTCTGTCCTTCACACATCAGGGCAAGTGACATTGAGACAGCCCAGCAGATATTCTGGAAACAAGCTGATTTTGGTTACGTTCGAGAGAGGCTCAATGAAATGAAGACCCACTGTAAACCTGCAGCAACAGTAGGTATTTCTGGTAGATGTGATCCTTTGCACTTGTTTTTGACGTAATTTTTGTTATTGACAGAGTTCTGCTTGTTCTTTTCTTAACAGGGGGATTCGTCTCTGACCTGTTCCCAGTACCTTCAGCATTGCAGAGCAACAAACTTGTACATTGATTTAAGGACTGTGAAGAGAAACCACGACAGGTGTCTGGTTTGCTTGTGTTGTAGTGAGAACAGGATGGCAGGGAAAAGGATTTGAGAATTTGCTTAACAAAGCTGGTGTGCTTTTTGCCATGGGCTTTTCTGCTGGTCAGAGACTTACTGATGAAGCCTTGTTGAGGGTTACACCTCTGCACTGCTGTCTGCTGCTGCTGTCAGCAGTACAGGTTGTTTAAAAACCTAAGTGGTCAGTTTTATGGAATAATGATGGATGATTGAAATATTCCCCTATGATGGAAGAGAGGAAGACTCTTCTGTGTCCTCAGTCACGTCCTTTCTTGATCAGATGACATGCAGAATAGAATAGTTTCTGTCTGAGGCACCAAGATCTTTCCTGTGCTGGGTACCTTTATACCAGATCCAGGAATTGCATTTTTAGATACAGTGTGACTGAAGAGAGAGCTGAGCCTGGATCTTTCATATCCCAATTTAAAATGTTACATGTTGGAAAACTGGATAAAAATCATACTGCTGATGCTGGCATCACCTCCTGTCTAATTTCTGGAGCCAGTGTCTTGGGGCACATGACTGCAAAGGAGGTGGTTCATGACTGACACTTAATACCCTTCAGAATGGGTTTTGTCTCTTCTCAGCCTGTCCTGAAATCTAATTTAGACAGTGCTTTTAGTTGATAATTTGTTTTCACGACATTTGTTCTTGCACATCGCTCTTCATATGTTGTATAAAATCCTTGTGTAGCAGACTGGGTTGTGAAATCCGAGGTGAATTTCAGTGAGAAATTGTTAAAAACAAACAAAAACTCCAAATAACGATGTTCCTGTGAGTAATCATGTAGCAAAATCTAATTAAATTACTCATTTGGCCATGTGAAAATGATTCCCAATAACAATCTCAGTGGATTAGTGCTGTTTTCTCCATTGTTTAGAACTTCAAGGACACCAATATCTTTATTTGGGAATTGTGGGAAGTCCTTTCTTTAAGCTGAAGAAAATACTCAGGTTTTAAATATGTGTGAAGTGCCTTGCTGAAGTGAGACTAACTAGCACTGCCTTGAGTATGTGATTGAGATTGCAGGGCACTGGTTAGCCCTGTTGCACCAAAGCTGATAGACCTTTCCTAATTTGCATTAGATTCAAAGAAGACTTTTTCCAGAAGGGAGAAATTGGAGGTCATTGCACCCTCGATGTTAAAGCATTTTTGGCTGAAGGTCAGCGCAAGAGCCCTCTGCAGTCTTGGTAAGAACCTTTTGTCAAGGATTCTGCTTCCAAGTTCACTCATTAGTTTTTTATTTTTTGCATTAGCATTAGCAGCTGTGTGTAGGGCATTTCTTCTTGAAAGGAGTTGCTCCTTTTAGGGTTTGAGAGTTCATATTAGATGCCTCTGGTAATTGCATCTGTGCAGAACGTCTGAGCTGTGCTGTGGGTAATTGTGTCCCGCCTAATTTACAGCAGCAAAAGATCTGAAAATGCCTTGTAAGTGGAAGCTCTAACTTTCAGGTGTTTTCTGGGCAAGATGCTGGCTCTAAGCCTAGCCTGCCTGTAGGAGGAGATAATTGTTGTGCTGTGAAATGCCTTGAAATTGGCACCTGTGTGTTAGTTCACACAGGCCGTGGTGATGATGGGGCCAGTGCAACTCCTGATGTGGATGTGTTCACACAGTGTTCCCAGGGAGCCTGTGCTTGGAATGTGAGATGGGCAACACACTGAGGCTGAGTAGGAAGTGCAGAGTATCACAGTTTGCATGTTAGCACTTCAAAGCTGCATTGCCAGTTAATTGATGAGAGATGAAGGGATTGGAGCCATTAAGGTCCATATGATAATTTATTTTATGCTTTTCTCATGTTTGGATTTTTTTTGCCCCCTCATTTTGCATTGATGGTTGATTTCAGTCAAGAACAGCTGCAGAGGAGGAAAGGACTTTTCTTCTCTACCTGCTGTTGTCATTGCAACTGCTCATCCTTGTTTAGATCCAAGAATAATAAATACTACATCTGCACTCATTATTCTGACCAAAGCATGGAGATTTTGCTTGAGTGTCTTTGTCAATGCAGATCAAGTTGGATGGACCCACAGACCCAGGCTCTAAGGCTCTTTGTTACATCTCTGCTGCCTTGATTTGTAGATCAAAGGTGCTGTTCACTCCTGAGATCAAAGGCAGTGTTTAACCTCTAGAAGCTCATAAACTGAGGAACCCTCCATTATAATTTCAAATCATTTTAATTGTCAGACTCTATCAGTTTTCAGCAGTCCTGTTAAATCAGATGGACTGGATGGACAGTTACTAAACCTTAGGCATATGAACTACATTTGTTTAAGTGTGTTAATGTCAAAGCATGTTCTGTGTGATTGAATCTTTCTAGGTTTGCAGAACTCCAGACATTTACTGCATTAGACTTCAGGCCTCTAGAAGATGAAAAGTGTGACATTGTAATTGAAAAACCAACGTACTTCATGAAATTGGATGCAGGTAATTGGTATCTTTAGTTTATTTTTTTTTTTGTCCTGCAGTACTGCAGTAAAAAAACCCCATATTCAACTTGCCCATCTACATTATGCCTTTGTGATTGTTAAGTGCACTTGTAATACATTTTTATTTTTTGAAAAATTTTGTGATTTTTCCTTCCTTTTTTTCCCCCCCTCTTAGTTCCAAGTGATGGACTTGGAAACTTACATTTGAAAATCTTATTTTTTCCCCACAGATGATTTAAAAAAAATCAGAATAACGTCCTGCTGCCTTGCACAGTGGTTCTCTTGACTGTGGTTTGAGAGTGTTTGTCTTTGTGCCAGGGGCTGCTCTGTACAGTCTCTGGCTGTGTTTCTTTATGACAGGTTTCATACCATGAAACACAACCTGTGGGTGTCTGTGTCTTGTAGTATGTGCTCAGTAACAGGATTCTGGGTGTACTGGATGATGTGGAAGAGCAGTGGTGTTTCAGGAGGGGCAGCACCCAGGCACCTCTGGGAATCAGCCAGTGGTACCTGACATTTTTTGAGCTTCACCAGCCTTTTTGTTGGGGCAGCAGAGTTTGCAGACAGCTGTTAATGGCAGAGGGTGTTCAGGATGTGTTCAGGCAAAGCAGCTGCAGTGGGGTAAGCTGTGGTTTGAACAGGATGGTTGTCTGCTGTGTTCTGTCCCTGTGACACATGGCAACTGTAACCTCAATTCATCCTCCTCCCGTGCCACTGCCTTCCCTTTTAAGCAGAGCTGTTGTAAAGGAGCTGGACTGCGTTGCCTCCTTTGTTTCATGGTGGTTTTTTGTGCACCAAGGTATTAAGCTTAAGAAACCAAGAATGAACACGAATGCTCTGAGAGAGAACCTGAGGAATTAGTTGGGCTTTGGCTTGTGTGCAAGTACAGGTTCTGTCTTGCAGCTCTGCAGACAGAGCTTCCTCAGCCCCACTAAAGCAGAACCAAGATCAGTGCCCAGGGCCAGCTTTCATGTTTCCTGTGTGTCAGACTGGCTCGTGTTAAAAGCAGGAGTTCCTTTCATATCCTTCAGAAAGCAGCTGCAGACTGTAATGAGAAATAGCACATGAAACTCATCTGTTTCTTATGCTTTCTTTTGGCCACTCTTCTGACTTATCTGTACTTTATAAAAACGTGTTTTACTTCAGATTTTTTACCATGATTCCTTCCCTTTAAAAGTTTGGGTTTTTTAGGGTATGTCAGAAGCATTCAGTCAGAAGTAGGGGAAAACTCACATAAAATAGAGGATGCTGCTAGGGAAAAGTGCATGACCCAATAAAGGTGGAACGAGTGATGCCGTGCTTTGCTAACAATTCTGTCTTTCTCAGGTGTCAATATGTACCATCACTTCTGTGATTTCGTCAATCTTTACATTACCCAGCACGTCAATAACTCCTTCAGTACCGATGTCAACATAGTCATGTGGGACACTGTAAGTCCGCTGTGCTTTTAACTTATTTGTAATGAGTTGTATTTCTGCTTTGGAGAAACGATGAAGGCTTTAGTAGCCAATCCCTGGCTTTCCTGTGGGCTTAACCATGTGGAACTGATAAATTTTTGGACCCTTTTAACACAGGTGCATGAACAAGAGCTGGGGAACAGATTTTCTCTGATAAACCATGTGCTGTTTGAACACTACTCTGTAGCTCAGCTTTTGCTAGTACGTAGCTATGGGTTTTTTTGGTGTGACCTCAAAAATAATATGATCACTATTTCTGATTTGTAGCATTTGAACATTTCATGCTGGTTTCTGTAGGCTTTTTTTTCTCTCAGAATATTGAAGTAGATTTACTTAACTGTTTCTTGTGTATTTAAAAAGAGTGCAGTCTTGCATTTCTCTAAATCAGTAATGTGCAGCCTGTAATAAAGAAAACAACTAGATTAAATCCTTGTATATGTATCAAAACAGGGTCTATTATTTAATTTCTTCAAGTAGCCTGCTTGCAGTTACTTCTCTCCATCATCTCTCAGAATACCTTGATGACATATAAAACAAGTTTTTAAGTGGGGCTGTTTCTGTTGTACTGCTGAGTTGAAACCATGACTGTATTTAAGAGTAATATTAGTTTTGCTGCCCAGTGTTTAAGTGGTGTAGGAGAGTCTTAAACTAAATCATGAACAACTGAGGAATTTGTAATATGCCAGATAATGTGTATAATCAGGTCCAGAAATAACACAGTTCTTGACTATGGTATTGTCCCATATCTGTTTTGTGCTCATGAAATGCTGTGTTTTCTTTCTGACTATTTACTGCTAGGACAACTAAAATTCAATAGAGGACTGCTTGCTATTTAATGAGAAACCTCTTTGACTAGAACAGACCCTTTTTTCTAGTTCTGCTACATTTTTAAAGATAAAATGCCATCTGCTAGATAAGTGAGCTCTCTAGATGTTATACAGGGACCTGTTAATCCAGATTTTATGGCTTTTTGAAAAGATCAGATGTCAGACAGCATTGTAAATTACTTTGAAAAGCAACTCTTTGTCTTATATCGCGTTGTTGAATCGAATAACTCTTTCAAATGTACCATTCAAAGTACTGTCACAGGACTATCATTTTAAATGAGCTTTACCTGCTCAGGCTGCTCGAGTTCATTGCTGTGTACAGCCAGGTGATGGCACCAGTCAACTGTCTGTGCTGATCAAAAGGTGGACTTGAGCTTATTATTCATTCTCTTTTTTGCTTTTTTTAACTTGATGCAATTAGTTTTGGCCATACTTCCTAGCTACTGTTCTTATGAAAGAGTAATGCCCTTAGATGTAGATTAAACAAAGCAGAAAATGAGGAGGGATTGCACTGGGTGTTATTTTGGAGACTGTCTCTGCAAATGCAGGGCAGAAATGTTTATGAAGCACTTTCAAGGAGAGCAGAGAGGGTTAGAAAGTGCTACTTTCATCAGTTCTCTACTTTTAGCCTGGAAGAGCAATTCTTGTAATACACATGGCCAGAAAGTAGTTAGGATTGTAAAATCCATTAAAACCTGGTGGCAGAGGAAGGGGAAGGAAGTGCCTCTTCAGCTGAAGAGAAGCTGGTGCCCTTTAGATTTTTACATCTCACTGGATATCTGTTCTTTTCTATGATCATTTGTAGTCTTATTTTCAGACTTCTGGTCGAGAATATTCCCACATAACTTTCCCAGCAGCCTGAACCAGCCCCAGAGTTGAAAGGAAGCTTTAAGTGAGGAATCTGCACCAGGGCTACTGAGGGCACATTTAATTGCGTTCAGAGAGCAAGAGGTGGTGACTCAGCCCTGGGATGTGCAGGAAATGTGAGAGATTGGAAGGCAAGAGCCCCTGGGGACAGGCTGATGTTGTAGGGAGTAGATGGCTCTACAAAGGTTCCACAGAGTGTTGCTGCAAAGGGGAAAGTTTTTTACTGCCCTGTGTAGAAACTCCTTAGCTGTTTCTCCCATCAGATCACATCATTACCTTCGGTTTGTGGTATGTGTGCAATATGCAAGTAACAATTCCAAAAGAGAGGCAAATGCAAAACAAGCTTGTTGTGACTTTTTACCTCAAACCTTACTGCTGCACTTGAATTCCCAGGTGGTTTTTAGTCTCAGGAATTGAGGTTTGCACCCTCTACCATCCCTGTGTTTCCATTACTTCAAATTCAACTTGTGTTCTCTTGTCTCTGGGAAAAGTAGTTAGTGCTTCTCTCTCCTGACTCAGAAATTTTAATCTGCTACTGAAGAGCTCATCTAGATTGCTGATTTATAGAAGTTTTTATTAAAAATTAACTACCTGACAGGTAATTTGAGTTACCTGTCACTGTAAAGAGAGAGTTTGGTGTTGTATAATGTCTGTGTTCTCTGCTGGGTTGTTTTGGTTACCGTGATGGTGTTGCACACATTAACTGTGTACTAAAACTCATATATACAGAGCTTGAATCATGAAGAGAGGTTCTCATATGCATTTATGTAATCATTATGCCCTGGTGTTTTTTGCTTTCCTCCTAGAGCTCGTATGGCTACGGTGACCTGTTCAGTGAGACGTGGAAGGCATTTACTGACTACGAAATAATACACTTGAAAACCTTTGACTCTAAAAGGGTATGGAATTTTATATTTTGATTGAATTCCTAGTCACTAGGGAGCAAACGTGACAACTTCTCAAGCTGCTTGTGGTTATGGGTGTTTCAGAGGAAAGCATTAATACCTCCCATGCATGTTTAATTTGTGTAATATGAGTATTTTACCTTAGAAACAAGAGTCAGAGCTGTAACCTAATTCTGTGGTGTGTCTATCCTTTATGTAGATGGACCTAAGTTTTGTGTCCTGAGAGGTGGTTTTTATATATGGGGTTTCCTTCTGCAGGAGCCATTGCTGAAGTTTAGGGTTCTGTCTTTCTAAGTCTTCTGATTCCTCTTGAGATGTTTCTTTTCCCCTGTAACTTCTGGCATACCTGCTGCTTATCATTAAAAATATATCACACTACGAAATGTTACCATTCATTCAGAGCTCATTTTAGTCTCTTAAATCCAGTCTTAAACTCATTAGCTGGCTTTCTTCTATTTAGTTCATGTTTGTTCTGTTTTAGAGAGGGTTTTTTCACCTCTCCCCACACATCTGTAGCATCCCAAATGAGAGCTCTTTTGGGATCAGGATTGTCTTTGTTCTGTTCATTTGCAGTCAGGGAAGTGGGGTTGCTCTTGATGGCTCATTAGAAGCAGGGATCCCAGTGAAGGGGGCAGTGGAAGGTGGCAGTGGGGTGTAACTCCCTGTGATCTCCTTTGCAGGTGTGCTTTAAAGAAGCAGTGTTCTCCCTGCTGCCTCGGATGCGGTATGGCTTGTTCTACAACACTCCACTGGTGAGTCCCTCTTAGCCATCCACTGTTAACGGGATGTGTGAGTGACAGTGTGAAATCTGAGCTGGTGAATCCCTCCAATATCCAGCTGAGTTACCATGGAATGTATCACAGGGAAGGTCCAACTCCAAATGGGGTGATCTCCCCCAGAGATTAAGGATCCTGAAGTTCTTCAGCTGGTTGTATGCAGTCCCCCCTGTCACAGCTGAGGAGATGCATATTGTTCTTCTTTAATGTGAACTTACTGGTATTTTTGCAGAGCCCAAGAGCTTGAACACAGTCAGACTTTCCCAGTGGTATTAGCTCATGCATTCAGGCTCTAACACTGGAGAGAGTTCATTTCTTTCTAAATGAAAGTGCCACTTGTGTTGCAGTGAATAGTGACATGTTTAGCACAGTGCATGATACTGGGCTTTTGTTCCACAAGAATGGCAAAAAAAAAAAAACCCTGATCACAAAGCGCAGTTTTCTGAGCAAAATAACTTTGTGTATTAACAATTGCTTTCTTAATTTCAGATCTCTGGCTGTCACGGTACAGGGCTGTTCAGAGCGTTTTCTCAGCACGTGTTACACAGGTTAAATATTACACAAGAAGGACCCAAGGTATGATAACTGAATAATGCAATTGTTATGTGGAGCTGATGGCTCCTAACACAAAAACAGCGTTAGGAAACCTGGAGCCAGTGGGGAATGAGGGTGTATTGTGCACTTTTTGTCCTTTCCTGTGATACCTGGAATTTTTTTTTTTTCCAGTAAGTCAACCTGCTCTGTAAAGGCCTTCAGCAAACATTTGTGTATATTTGTGAAAGTTGCCCTTTTGCCTTTTTATCCATGGGACAGACTTTAGAACACTCTTAAGAGTCTCATCCCTGTGCCCATTCTCTGTGCCCAAGGCCTTGGTGTCCTTCCTGGTTAAGTAAGATACGTGTTACATGGTCTGAGAAGGTGCTGCCCTTGGGTCCAGCAGAAGGGATCCCTTGGAGCAGTGCCCTTTATCAATCCTCAGAGGTACTGCTGGGCTCAGATCAGAGGAGGAAACGATGGAATCTGGTCCTTCCATCCTCGCCCAGCACCATCTGTGTGGCCCTGGGCAGAGAGCTGTGGTACCCACTGGTGGTTTTTCACGTGGCATTGATGGGCACAGCAGTTCAGGGCTCGCTGAAGGATTTTCCAGAGAGTAGCCTGTGTATTGTGGCTGAGGGGCACCATTCAGAGCTCTGCACAGGCATTTAGTTATGCTTCTCCTGCTGACACTAATGGGAGTCATGCAGTTAAATCTCTTCATTTCACTTGGAACGCTCACCCCTGTGAGTCCAATTAATTAAAAGAGGCAAAAAGAGGAACTGTTAGAGAAGTAAAATATTTTTTTCCAGAGGATCTTGTGCACAAGCCATCCTGAAAGCTGCTTTCCAAAACTGCCATATAATGTGCAATACAGAGGCTCTTTTGTGCTGAATAATATAAACCCTTCAGAAAATATTTCGTTCTTGGTTAATAATCAGACTTCCACAAAGTTTTTGACACTTTGAATCTGTTGGGAAATGCGATGTGAATTTTAAGATGGTTACATCATCTGTTTATTACATGTGGAAGGAACATATTTGGTTGCTCAAATATTTGCCAAAAGTAAATATGGAAGTGTCTGGGATTGTTTTTGTTGAGGTCTGCCTGTTAGCTAACACACTGCTCCTTCTTTCTTCTCAGGATGGGAAAATTCGAGTCACAATACTTGCACGCAGTACAGATTACAGGAAAATATTAAACCAGAATGAGGTGTGGTCCTTTTTTATTTTTATTTTTAAAACAGATTTATTAGAAGTTAAGTTTTCCTCATTGGATTGATTTTTTTTCCCCTAAGGTAGAGCCAAGACCATCTATTTGCTGACAAATCTTGGACAAATATGTCCAATGCTTATAGTAATTTCTTCTAATATTTCTTGTAACCAGTCTCCATTTCTGTACACCAGACACTGGACCTTGCTGCCCTTTCTAAATATTGAATGGGAGACTACAAATGTAATACTAAAAGTATTTCCTCTCAGCAAACAGACACTGCAGAGCTTCTGATAAAATTAAATTACTTTGCTTTCAGATTATTTCTTTTATTTACAGCATCCCCAGTGCTGAAGTCTAACAAAACCTTTTGTAATGTCTACAGATTGAAATGCATAAACCATTGTACCTGAGTATGTGCCCTCAAAACTTAATGAATTCTCATATTGATTCATGTTTTCGAATCATACAACTTAGTGGACTTACAGTGTAGCTTCTTTTGTGGTAAAATGACAATATTTAATGTTTTCATACCTGTTTTCATTCTTGCTGTTAGTGCCTGACAAAAATGAATTGGGATTATCATCCCCACCTGACGCAGGGAGAAACTGAGGTTTGTGTGATGCAGGAGCTCAGTGACAGAACAGGCAGAGCAAAGGATTTGTGCTTTACCTGCTGGGCTGCCCTGAGTTCATGACTCACTGCTGCATGTAGTGTATGTTCTGGGAAAGTGCACACGGCAAAGGGAGAAGTTACTTTTATTTTTACCATACTTCTGTAAAAGAAAATGCTTGGCTTTTCTCGCTCTACTGCTGGCTAAGGATTGGAGGCTCTCCAAAAGCCCTTTAGTTCTGAAGGCCAGGTCTAACCTGTTTTCACTTACCATGTCAGTAAGAGTCTGACCTAGTAATGGATTTTTGAGAACCCTTCTAGTTACCAAGTCCCTGGTGGGGAGGAGAAGTGCGTGAAGTGGTCAGGAGTTCAGAGGAGCAATTAATTGAAGGAGAACACCAAATCATTGTCCTTTTGTTCTCCTCCTCAGCTTGTGAATGCTTTGAAAACAGTATCAACGTTGGAGGTCAAAGTGGTGGACTACAAATACAAGTACGTAAGTTGGTGGAAGAATCTGGTGTGTGCTGCCTGTGGCTGTGAAAGCTGTTTGCAGGCAGGGCTGTGTCTGTCCCCATGTCCAACCTGTGCAAAATCCAAGGCCTGGGAAGGAAGAGTGTTTCTGAGGGAGTGGTGGGTGAGCTAGTCAAGCACTCCCATCCTATGATGCTCTGCTTAGGAATGAATCTCTAGTGTAGAAGGTTCAGATTGAGATTATTACACGATGAACAAGTTTTGAAATCACTTTTCTTCCTGTTTTGTCCCTTCTCCCTGAACCAGCTGTGTTCCCATCACCCTTTTACATTTGCTAATGCTCTGCAGAAACTGTGGGTCAACAGGGATTTCTCTTGTATGATGCCAGTGTCTTATTTTATGTGACCCTTAATTTAGTAAGGAATAATAACTCTCCTTATTTAATGCTCTGGTGGCCCCTGAAGACACCACCTGAGGTCAGTTTGGGGTGCCAGGTGTAATAGGCACTGTGCCAGTAAGAAATGGATGGAAGGAAAAGTTCCCAAATAGTTCATGCCTGTGCCCAATGGCAGCAGCTCCATCCACTCACTGGTGCTTCCGTGGATCATGCAGGAAGAGTGGGAAACTGAAACAGTAGTGAGAGATCAGTGTTCTGACCAAAACAGAGACAATGTGAGGAAGTTTAATTGTGTAGTTCAGCACCACACTGAATACAGTTCAAAAACAGCTCAAGTCTTTTATGTTGGGTTTTCAGGTGGGTTTTTTTGTTTGTTTTGGTTTTCTTCTTTTAAGGAAGTGATGCAATTTATTTTAAAGGCAAGTAAAAAGAAAACCCCAAACTTACAAAAGCTTTACCTTGAAATAAAGTGTTTCTGAAAGAGATCCTTACCAAGTTTTGAAACCTATCTGCATTTCTTTGAATTCCATGCTGATTTATTGCTGGCTGCAGCGTTTGTGATTCTTAGTATTCTTCCTTGAAAACGTTTTCTTGAAAAATCTTCCTTGAAAAGTTTTCTCTTTTGGTGTTCCCTTAAGCTAATTCTGTGCTTTCTCCATGTGTGGGATCCTTACTGCTGTGGATGGACCTGCCACATGACCAGTTGTGTTGTGTTGTCTGCAGGGAACTTGAATTTTCGGAGCAGTTGAGAATTACCCACAACTCTGATATCTTCATTGGGATGCACGGAGCTGGACTGACCCACCTGCTCTTTCTGCCAGACTGGGCTGTTGTTTTTGAGCTGTAAGTCTGTCTGTCTTTCCCCTCTGTTGTACAAAACTGCTCATGTCTGTTCCTGTGTGTTAATGAAGCCCCTCCCTTGCTGGTATTTGACCATGAATGTTTGTCTTGCATCCTTGTTTAGACTTTGTTTTTGGCAGCCTCTTCTTCTGGGGATCGAAAGAGGGGAAGCCTTCGTTATGAAATATAGTGTAATTATGTCACACAGGTTTAGCCTGTGATTTCTTAATATACCCTGGTATAAATATAATGCAGAAATTGCTTGGGGGAAATGGGAAACAATGGGAAAGCCTCAGTGCTCAGATCCTGCAGGTGTGCCTGAGATCTGATGCTGTTTTGGTGACCCAGGTGAATTGATTACATAAGGTGCATGTCCAAGGGTGTCAGAGATCCCCTGAAGGCTTTTTTTAATCCTTTTTGTGCTCAGGACATGAGCACCAGCGTACTGGCCAAGACCAGCCCTGGGTCATTCTGTTTTGCTGAAATTTCTCTTGTAGCTTCCTTTTAAATGTATTTTGTCACAAAGTATGGGTATTAACAGACACTCCAGTTCTACAGAACTGAACAAAAATGCTTGTCAGAAGACCACTGAAATCTCCACCCTGGGAAATTTTACTGTGGGAAGGCTGCAGAGCTGGTGTTTGGCAGCCTAGTCTTGGCCTGAGAGTATTTTGTCCAGTCTCCAGATAAAGTTCAGAAACCCAAAGGTTTTTTTTTTTTTTCACATGTCCAAGAGCTGCTGCAGCTGGACAGGGACATACCTGACATGCAGATGTGCCTCAACCTACCTCCTAGGGAGTTGTTATTTTCAGCTGAGCAGAATTTGTCCAAGGTTTTGGTGCCTTAGAACTGAACAACAGACATTTCAACTTGCAGAGCGTTTTCCTGTTTCATCCTGGTAAACTTCAGCACAGTCTGTGTGGGTAAATATGTATTTTTTTATGCCTGTCCCTAGGTACAATTGTGAAGATGAACGTTGTTACCTGGATTTGGCAAGGCTGAGAGGGATTCATTACATCACCTGGAGGAAAAGGAATAAAGTATTCCCTCAGGATCGGGTAATGATGGTCACTGCTGGGAGGGTGAGGTGCTCTGACTAAAGCATTTTGGGGTTATTTTGCTTTACCTCTCTGTGTTCTGGTATTTGAAATACAATTTTCATTCTTTAGACCAAATTAACTCCCTTGATGCGGTAACGAAATTATTTCATGTTAATGGCTGAGGGAAGAAGAGAGATGAAATTAATTTGCCATTAATCCAAGCCATCCATAGCACTGCTGTTCTGCAGTTACTCTGCTGATTCTTTTGCCTCAGAGCAGATCAGTGGATCAGAAAGAATAAATTAAAATGGCAGATTCTCAATATTTTTTCTTGCTTTTTTGAACCAAGATGCATTGTTTTGGGTTTTTTTGGTTTTGTGGTTTTTTTTTTTTTTTCTGTCTAAAATTCCTTATCTCGTTTTTCTAGGGACACCACCCAACACTGGGAGAACATCCAAAATTTACAAACTACTCCTTTGATGTGGAAGAATTTATGTACTTGGTGCTTCTGGCTGCAAATCATGTTTCACAGCATTCCAAGTGGCCATTTAGGGTAAAACATGATGAATTCTAAGTTAGACTTCTGACTGAAATACTGTTGTTAAATAATCACAGAATGACCTGGGTTGGAAGGGACCTTAAAGATCACTCAGTTCCAACCACTTCCCATGGGCAGGGACACCTTCCACTAGACCAGGCAGCTCAGAGCCTCATCCAACCTGGCCTTGAACACTTCCAGGGATGGGGCATCCACAGCTTCTCTGGGTATCCTGTGCCAGGGCCTCCCTACCCGCACAGGGAAGAATTTTTTCCTTGCATTTAATCTAAACCTGTTCTCTTTCAGTTTGAAGCCATTCCCCCTTGTCCTGTCACTCCATACCCTTGTCCAAAGTCCCTCTCCAGCTTTTTTGTAGCCCCTTTAGGCACAGGAAGGGGCTCTAAGGTCTCCCTAGAGCCTTTTCCTCTCCAGCCTGGACGCCCCCAGCTCTCCCAGCCTGTCTCCAGAGCTGAGGGGCTCCAGCCCTCGGATCATCTGCGTGTCCCTCCTCTGGACTCGCTCCAGCAGGTCACTGATCTCCATTTGGACATCAAGCCATTGAGCACAACTCTGAGTGCAGCCACACAGCCAATTCCTTATCCATCCTCATAATGCTCCACAAAAATACTGTAACAGCAGGAAGCAAAGTGCTGTTGGGAAATGTGGAAACTTCTACGAGGGAAATGACCCATCTTTAATTTGTCACTCCTTAGCATCATACCTCTAGTTTTCAGGACTCTCTTGGTTTTTGCGCTGTATTTTTGCATTCCAAATTCTGAAATACTCATCTTTATACAAAGATATGTCCATCCATTTCATGTAAGGTTTTCTGGGGTAGATACAGGGCCAACAGACTCTGGCAACTCGTATTTTAAGTTTAGAAACATTTTCACCTTAGAGAGCACAGTCTTTTGCTTTTACATTTAAATATAAACTTTGATTCCTCTCACTTTCAGTTGTAAGTGCTCAAATATAACGGGTCAGAGCAGTAGGTTCAGTCAGACTTCTGTCTCAGAGCAGGGCAATCTTTTCCTAAGTGAATACTTAAAGCTTCAGGTAAGCTGAGTTTATGTGAAACTTTTTCACATAAAACTTTCACATAAACTTTTTCACGTAAAGCAGCATGCTGCATTGGAAAACTTGAGCAAATTGGAATAAAACTTGAGTCTTTTTGAGGATGATAAAGGGAATGGATTTCTATTTTTTCATGACAAATGATAAGATGTGTACAATGTCTTTTAATCCAGCTGAAAGGATAGGAATTCATGAGGAACCTTGGAGTCATTAAAAGCCTAATTGTTAATGTTCTTGTTTCCTCAAAATGTTGGAGAGTCAATCTAGAAAACTTCTTAAAACCTTCCCAAAGCCAGTAGCACAGTTCACTGTTTCCAGTGAAGGAAATACAAAGCCAAAGCCAAGTTCTTCATGAAATTCCCCCCAGGGCTGACATGTTTGTGCTGGTGGGGATAAAAAAAGAGAGCAGTTGTGTTCTCTCAAGTGAGGCCAGAAGGATGTGTGAAAGAATCAAGTCCATTGAGATCAAAACCAGAGTTCTATGTTAAATTATAGATTTTTTGGGGAATGTGTTCCCGTGCTAGACTTGCAGTTCAGCCGTGCAGTGCTGGTGGCACTAAGCAGAGCACACATTGGTATGGGAAAGCAGGAGAGTTACAGTGAATGTAAACATTTCACTGGTCTAATTGTAGATGTTATTGACTTCCCTTCTGCAGCGGTCGTAGGCAATTTCACAGAGTGTAGGTGCATTTACTGACCTGCCTGTGCTGGGAAGGGTGAGTTACTGTAAGCACAATTTCCATATAGATCTCTCATGACCTTAAGCAGTGCATAGGGAAGGTTGGATAGAGCTGAGACCTTCGTGTATCTTGTGTATCTGGTGCAATTCTTCCTGTAGTGTGTTGTTTTACTGAGGGAGAAAACTGTTTCACTTTAAAGAACCATAGAAGCAAAATTGCACTTTTTGACATAAGGAAAAGAAAAAAAAAAAAAAAGGCCTCGAGAAATGCAATTTCCTGTATTTGTGTCTGTGTGGGTTTTTTACCTTGTGGGATTTATAAAGGAAAAAAAAAAAGTATAAAACTTAAGTTAGTAAAATGCTTGTGTTTGAATGAAACCAAGCCAAAATAAAGAAGACATTTAATTATGAAATGCACACGAGAGTTTTTTAATAAAAAGCTTTTTAATTTAAAAAAAAAAATTGTTTGGTCCTAGTTTGCCAGGTTTTAGAGGCAAATGTTTTAAATATTATTAATTGCGTGGAGTCTCTGCTTTCTCCTCCGTGACAGCCTGATGTTCTGAGATCCAAAGCCATATCGGATCTCTTCATCTGGGAATCATTTAGAGGTAATGCTGCCATCCTGCACTGATGGCTGTGGTGCCAGGCATTTGAAGATTGGTTTGTGAAAGTATTTGTGTCTGTGTAACGGTGCAGGTGATGCTGCTGAAGGCAGCGTGGGAGTGCAGGCGTGTGCCTGAGTCTGTGCAGAAGCAGCTAATGAGGAGCTGCTCTTTCAAGTGATCTCTAAAACAAATGGTTGAACATATGCATGGAGGAGAGGCTGCAGGGACTTAATCCAAGGGCAAAATATCTTGCCAACGTTCACCAGTTTCAGCAAATTTGAGTGGAGCATCAACATTTGATGGCTGGCGTATTATTCAGCCTTTATGGCTTAATATTGTTGGGATGAAAATACTGCTTTTGTTGATTAACTTTACAAATAGTCACAAAATTATCTTGGCAGCAGAAGAGGTTTGGTTGGATTAATGGGATTTTTGCCAATGAATCCTGAGAGAGTTTGGACAACAGCAAAGATCTGGCTTTCTTCCAGAGGGTCTGGGCCATCTCTGTCTGTCTGGAAGCTGGAATTTGAAGGAATCCAGCAGACTTTGGGGCCACTTGTTCTTTAGGCAGGATACAGCTCTGGATTATGTTTTCCTAACAGACTATGGAAATCTTGTTCCTTGCTATTTCTGATTTTTGTTTGTTTGTTTTGCTCTCTCCAGTTTACCCAAGTTTAGAGTCTGTTTTTAACTGGCACGTTGGTGTGAGCGTGATGAATTTCCCTTTGGGACTTCACACAGTGTTGCCAATCCTGAACACTTGTGGGATTGCCTGTGTATCATGTACAGTGTAAACTGGGGGCTGGATTTGAAATAAATAATTTATGGATGCACGTGGTGTCTTTCCTTTTTAGTCCAAAAGGCTTCAAGATGTAATTTCAGGTTTTCTCTTTGGGAAGCTCTGTGGAAGTTGGGTAAGTGTGAGAAATGGTTTGTCATGGGAAGGTGGCAAATCAGGATTATTAATCTTAAGAGTACAATTATAAATATTAAAGTAATACATTTTTAAAAGCAATTAAATAATAATAGAACTATTTAATTTTTGCTGTTAATCTTACCAGTGCCATTAATGAGATAACTCAGGGTTTAGAATATTTCTTAATCTTGTATTTCTTTAAGGAGAAAAACTAAAGGAAATGTGCTCCTTGAGAGCTTTTTATGTGCTCAGAAGGGTAAAATGTTTGATTTCAACATTGAGCAATTGTTCCAATTTGCTGTCTTTGCCTTAAGTTGTGTTCTTACTTTCTCTGAGCACACGTTTCTCATGGGTTGGGCTTTTTGTCTGAAATAAATGAACTGCTTTTAAATACTCTCCAGCTTTGGTCCTGAAATGGTCACAGGAGCTGTTTTTTTTGGTGTTCATTCATGAATTCTCCTTGTTCTGGCCAGGGGTGGTTGCCACAGTTGGACAGAGCTGACAGCACATTCACAGGTGTGTATTTTAATTGGCTGTTGTCCTCTCTTAGAAGAGTGAAGTATTTTTATAATATAAAAATATAAATACAAAATAACCTTTATATCTAAATAAAATACAATAATATATAAATATACATAATATAACATTAACTCTCTGTTTTGGGCCCTTAGAAAAGTGTTTATTGATGTAGTACACGAAGTCTATAAAGCTTTTGAGTAGTGGGTGACAAATCAATTGTCTGGAGCTCAGCTCCCCCATCACTTGGGAACAAAGCAGTGTCAGGAATATTAATTCTGGTTGCCAGGTCTTTGAGTGTCGGATTTGTTGAAAACTGAAGAAAAGATGACATTCAATCATGATTTGAAAAGGGGAAGTTCAGCACGCATCCGTTATTTTCCAGTTTGTCCTGATAATGATGTCACTGTCGAATGCAAAATGCTCTCAGTAAAGACAACATATTGGGGAAAAATGAAATCTTAGCAAACCAGACATCACTGGTACAGCCTGGGGGAAAGGGAGCTCGGAGGGGGGACCTTCTGGCTCTGCAACTCCCTGTCAGGAGTGGGGAGCCGGGTGGGAGTCGGGCTCTGCTCCCAGGGAACAAGGGACAGGATGAGAGGAAATGGCCCCAAGTTGCACCAGAAGAGGTTTAGATTGGATATTAGGGAAAATTTCTTCACCTGAATAGTTGTCAAGCACTGGCACAGCATGCCCAGGGAAGTGGTGGAGTCACCATCCCTGGGAGTGTTTAGAAGACGCGTAGCTGTGGCACTTGGGGACGTTTTAGTGATGGCCTTGGCAGTGCTGGGTTAGTGGCTGGGCTCAGTGACCTGAAAGGCCTTTTCTAACCTAACTAATTCTCTGGTTCCATGCTGGTTGACACCAGTTCAGCACTTGAAATCTGCTTTCTGTGCTCGGGTGCTCCCAGGCAGTGCCGTGGCTGTACACGGTGTTTGAGCGAATCTTTCGGGGGATCTCCCTGGTCCCTGCTGGGAGGTGCCAGCCTGGGGTCCTGCTGCTCCCAGGGGGCTCTGCAGACTGGAAATGCCTCTTGCCTCGGAGGGACATCCGATTTGCAGGTAAGGCAGGCGAGCATTCACTCCCTATTGTGGCAGAGTGCAGTAGGTGTCACTAGAGCCCTTTCCAACGTTCAGGGGGAATCTCATTCCAGATGCAGAAGCCGCTCACCCGAGGAGCTCAACAAAGCAACTGCTCCTGCAGTCACGGTTTTGTTTTCCACCTTCCTGTTTGCAGAAGGAAATACCTACAAGAGAAATTAATCCAGGGAGATTTTAGCTTTTAGCCCAGGATGATTCAGATGGTATAATATCGGTACATTTTACTTCAGGTTTTCTTTAAGCAACTTGGTGTTGGAAAATAATTTCAGTTTATTTTTCAGATCGGTAAAAATTTTCAGTTAATCTTTTGTAGCAAAATGCTGCTTCTCATTTTGTTCTAAAAACACTTTTTACCAAATTGTCACTGTTTAGTAGTTGATGAAGTTCCTGTTTTGCTGCAAAATCTTGATTTCCACTTTGGCAACACATTACCCAGTCGTGCCATATGTCCTGCACCTTCCTCTACCAAATTACTTGTCCCATGTAGTGCACTATGGGGGGTGTGTGCATGTGCACCTGGTGTCATGAAAATATTAACCACTGACACTTGGAAAACAGTTAGAAAATACTGGAAAATGGTGGAGTTGTTATTCTGTTTATTAAAAAAAGCAATAACCATGAAGACACTTGTTTTTTAGAGAAAAATAGCTTGGTTTTGTAGATTTCCCCTTTCCAAACTAATTCCACAGTTGGTCTTTGAAAAGGGAGTTGATTGAATTTTCTTTGCAGCTTTGGGAAGTTTTGAGCAGACCCAGGGAGGGCTGTGGTCTCTGGCCTTGTCCCTGCATGTTGGTTAAAGCCAGTGGAGATGATTTCCCTGCCTGACATCTGATCCACAGCTTTCAATAGCTCAGCAAAGTTAAAATAAGCTTTAAATGTTAATATAGGATAGTAATTGTTTGAACTGTCATGCAAGGAGGGTGGAAAGCAGGTGAGTTTTGCAATATGATGGAAGCCCTGAAGGAGGGCAGATGTGACACAAGAGCAATGCATCCATCCTCAGCTTTGATGGTTGAATTGGGTTGAATCAGGCCTCTTTGGTGTCCCCATGTGTGAAGAAACCTCAGAACTATCATTTTACTTTCAGTGGTGCAGGGTGAGGAGGGTGAAGGTCAATAACAATTGGCATCTCTCTGCCATTCTCCACAGATCTGCGTCAGGTGAGGAACTTGGACAGATCCTGAACGTTCAGGGAAGTGTGGGCAGCTCTGGTGGAGACTGCAGCAGGTGTTATCCCTGTTTGGATTTTATTTCTTTTGCATCTTGGAGGTAATTAAAATCCTCATCGTGGTGATGTGTCAGGTGTGTTAACCTGCCCTGGGGCTTGGGACGTGCAGGAGGGGGCTGTGCCTGGGGTGTGCAGGGATGGTCACGCTGGTCAGGGATCTGTGAGCTTCCTGGCACCAGTAAGAGGGCAGTGGTGACCACACTGGACATCATTCATTACCCCATCAAGGGCTCTGAGCATCCATCAGCACGAAGGCGTGTGTGCCAAGCTGACAGCTCCGAATTGTTTCCTCCCCAATTACTGCGCCGGAGCCCAGAGCGCGTAATGAAATGTGCCTCCTACCTATCACTTCATCTTTGTCAAACTGACTGGGTGTTCTTAGTTTGTTGTGACTGGGAGAACTTCAGTGGCGTCAGAAAAATAAGCAAGGCTGTCTCTGGTGTGAAAGGCTTAAAGATGGGGTGGATGCTGTTAAATAAAAATGCCTCAGTCCAGATGAAAATGTACATGGAAAAAAACCCTCACAGACCAGCTGAGCCCTCTCAGCTCTGTCATCATTTGGGACCCAGTGGGGGATGAGAAGACTAAGAACTTTTCTTTTGCTGGACATCTTTATACTTAGTAAAGTATTCAGCCTTTCTTATAATTTATTCATTGTGGTCTAGCATAGTCTAAAATATCAGACCTTCCCCCTCTGTCCTCGTACATACGCATTTTTGATGCCTCTTAATTCATTATTTAAGCAGCCTGCGTTCTGCTTTACAAAATACCCTCCTCCCCAGTGCCTTAATGTTACCAGTTATTTGTGTATCCATGTCAGTGGCTTTCCAGCAGGGAAGGGGCAGGGTGGGTGGGATGCTGATCCCCCAGCCCTCGCCTCCTGTGTCCACACCAGCTCTCCTTGGTGAGGAGCTAAGCAGCAACAGGAGTTGGGCAGCCAGAGCTCGAGGGCTGCAGCTCCAGTAAAGCACTCGAATACGTGCTGAAGTGATGCTTCAATGTGTGTTGCTTTGAAGCCTGGGAGCTCTTCTGAGAGAGAAAGTGGCTTGCTGGCACTTTAGAGAGGGTGGGAGAACAGGACAGTGCAGCTCTCAGCACTGGGTGGAAACCCTGCTCCTGCTGGGACCTGGAGTCCCACTCCGGGGATTCCATGAAAATCCATTTCACCATCACATCCCATCCTGCAGCAGCAGCTGAGTTAGCGTGGGTGAGATGCAGTGGATCCCTTTGGTGGAAGTGCACCGGGAGCACAAAGTATTCCCTGTCTCGTCATTAATTACGAAGTTGGATAACTGTCAGCAGGAGCATTTGCAGCTCACAAACGTGTCTGTACACTGCGAAGTCTGAGCCATGCTTTGATTGGAATTCTTGCAGCAGTCTGTTTGCTCCCTGGGTATGGTGTTTGGATCTCTGCCAGATGTGCCATTCCACCCCCCTCCAGGTTCCATGGGCAGCGTCTGCCAGGCGGGTCTGCATCCGGGAACGGGGAGTCCGGGAGGTGTCGTGGTCGTAGCTCTGCTTTTCCCTAACAAAAGGAAACGAGGTAGTTGGTTCAATGCAGAATATTAAAACCCTTAATTTAACAACTGAAAAAAGGTTAAGTAAATTAAGAGAAACACAACTAAGCCAAACCTCCTGTTTATACCCTTGGTTGCAAAACTGCCCTGGATATTGTCAATTGATTGTTTTTAACATTCCAACCAAGGAAAAAGTGGGGACTATTTGACCTGTTAATGCATTCAGAGAACCTGTTACTGCTTCAAAGAAAACATTTCTGAATGTTGTGTAATAAATCAGTCTTTGTTTATTTAATAACCACAAGGTTTTCCTTTTGAGTTAGGAACTCGTGAGAAAGCCTAGGACTGAAAACCAAAAATGGCAGCTTTCTGGTCATTTAATGTAAGTTGCATTTTGTTGATCACATTTGAAAGCATTTAATATTAGCTTTGTGCAGGGGCATCAGTTGAGGATGTTGTTGTCACTTTGGGGACAACAGGAGGAAGCACAATCCCTGTTGGCCTGGTAGGAGCTTGTTCTCAGCAGAAGGGGCTTGGCTGAGGACATCCCAGA